CTGCGCTTTGCACTATTGGGGCAAAAATGTCTTAAGCAGTGGGGAACCTGCCACCCCACCCTGACCCTCGGCCTGCCACAGCCCCCCTACACACACGCACGTATGCACGCACACGGAAGGCCATGCAATGCTGCCGTTCAGGTGTTCCAACAGGGGTGGAAGGCCTGGAGGAGCGTCTGCTGTCTCCTGTGCGTGTGCCTGCCCCGCCCCTCTGGGGCCCTGGGCTGCCCGTGCTGTCTTCGTCTGTCTCTATCCTCTCTCTCTCCTGGGGTACTGACTCCTGTATTACTCCTGTCCCATGGCTAAGCCTTCTTGTACCTTCCTCCACACCTGGGGGCCCAGTGGAATTCCTGACCTGTCTGCTGTCTCCCCCATGCCTCCATCCCCACCCCACCCCTTCATCCCATTCTCAACCATGGACACGGTGGAGAAAAGGCCTCTTAGGCACTTGGGAATCCCCCCAGCCCTCCCCAGTCATATGAGCTGTGATCTCCACCCCAAATGCTCCCAGTCCCCTCCTTCCCCACCCGCTCCGTGATGTGGGTGCATGTGGGTGTATGTGGGTGTGTGTGTGCGTTTCTCTGCGTGAACGTGTGAGTGAGTACACATGGTGGGGAGGAGCCAGGGAGACTCAGGAGTGCCACGCACCTGCTCTAGAGAGGCAGCTGTCCCGGTCCCTGCTATGGAAGTGGGGGACAGGGCCCTCTCCTGGGGGCCATTGGTGCTAATGAGGGGGGTGGCCTTGATGTGGGTGCTCAGCATGCCTCCCCAGTATTGGCCCAGGGCACTAGGGCAGGCAGGGTGGGGCAGCAGGTGCAGTATTGGTGGGAGGATAGGCTGCTGGGTATAGAAAGAGGGGGCCAGGCCAGGCCAAGGGGGTGCCAGAGCCATGACCACTACCCCGCCCCCACCACCCGCCTCTCCATCTCAGTATTCCCCCTCCCATCACTTATAACACACATACCTCATCCAGCCTCCTCCCTGTTCAGACTTGGGGAGGGTGGGGGAGGAGGAGCCCCTACCCCTTCCCCTGGTGGCGGGTCTGCAGGGCTGGGAGAGGGCAGGGCGTGTGACAGACACCGTCCATAAGGGGGACAGTAATTCCTGCCCTGGGAACTCCTGGGTGGGGGAAGGGGGACACTGCCCAGAGGCGCTACTGAATGTATGAGAAGCTGGTGCTGGGGTGGGGGGTGGGGGGCTGTGGCCAGAAACAGGGAAGGAGGTAGGTCCCTTCCCCAGGGAGGGGTGGGACTGGTAGGGGGGATGGGAGGGGCTCCTACTCCTGCCCCACGTTGACAATCAGTATGTCTGTTATGTGCGATTTTTCACCCCGTTGTGTTTTGGGTCAGGATTTTAAAGAAAGATATTTTTATGGTAATTGTTGCTCGTCTATTTTACTATATATTTATGTAATAAATATATGATGAAAATAACCCCCTTGGGCACCCCCCTTAGACTTGTGTGCTGTTTCCCTATATCCTCCCATCTGCTGGCAGAATACCCACCCCCCAAAACTGACCAGATGGAGAGGTGTCCCCACCAGCCTTGGCAATAGTCCCTCCCCACCCCCCAAACGAGCACACACCACAGAAGCCAGCTCAGCTGTGCACTATTGGATTTGAGACAGGAACAGAACAAATCAGGGGGCTAGAGAAGGGAGGGGGGAGAGAGTGGTTTAAATAGGGGAGGAGGGGCAGTTTGGTGATGGGGGAGGGAGGCAGGTATTTACAAGCAGGCTCAGGGGGCCAGAGGCTCATCTTGGAATATTTTATAACAATATAAATAAGATTCTGGTTTGCTTTTCCTTTTCGTCTCGTAAAGGAGAGAGAAGTGCAGAGTTCGATTCTGTACAAGGGGGCAGCGGCAGAAGGCCGGCCGGGCGGGTCACTGGGCGTCCACCCGGAAGGACAGCAGCTTCTCGGAATGCATGTTGTTCAGGGTCCGCAGGTCCGGCAGCTTGAGCAGCAGCTTGGTGAAGCGGGAAGTCTCCGAGGGCCGGTTCTTCAGCACCAGAGCCCGAAGAGCCCGCAGCAGCGTCTCCTGGAGCTGCTCCACCGAAGCGGAATTCTCCATGCCCGAGCGGTCTGTGGGGAAGACGACAGCAGTGAGGCAGGCTCCCTGAGCTCCTCTGACGAGGAGGGACCGGAGGTCTGCGAGGACCTGGCAGGCCATACAGCTTCTCCTGGAAGCCCCTCAGAGGGCTGCCCGGGAAGGGGAAGGGGCTCGACACCTCCTCCCAGGCCTTCCCCAGAGCAGGAGGAGCCCGAATGCTGAGAGTGTGGGCTCAGCAGGGCTGGTCCACTTCCATCCTACAAGATCACTCTCCCCCCCCACCCCGCACAGGCCAAACATGCCCAAGCTCCCTTGCTTTTGGCTCTGTAGGTCCCTCTGCCTGGGGCACCCCTCCCCCTTTCTCTGCCTGGCAACATCTTACTTGTCCTTTGAGGCCCCACTCAAGTGTCACCTCCTTCTTCAGCTCCCCCAGGCAGAAATAGTTGTCTGTGATTCCTTGGTTCATGCTTCTACTGTGACACTTATCTCACTGTTTTATAATTAGTCGGGCATGAGTCTGTTTCCCAAGCTAGACTGTGTCTGAATCATGTCTGTATCCCCAGTGCCCGGTGCAGGGCCTGGCATAGAGTAGGTACTCCATAAAAGGTGTGTTGAATTGAACTGCGTCTGCCTCCTCCCCCCTGGGTTAGGCGAGAGCTTGACCTACCTGCAGAGACAAGCACCACAGCGGTGAAGAGGCCCAGCTCCTCCTCGGTAAGCGCCAGGGAGTTGAGCTTCTCACTGAAGTCGAACATGGCATTGAGCAGATCTCCCATGCCCATGGCGCCGAGCTCCTGCAGGCTGTAGGTGGTGCGGCTTAGGAACATCACCGTCTGGTCCTTCACGTTGAACAGCGATGCAAAGCGCACCATCAGCACCTACAGGGGGTACAGTCATCCTGGGTGGAGGGGAGGAGCGCTTGCCACGTCCCCGTAAAAGTCTACCCAAGGGTTTGGTGGTGCTGTCTTAGATTTCTCAGTAGAGTGTGGGCTGTTTCTGAATGGGAAATGGGGGGAGGGAAGCAGGTGAAAGAATGGGGAGCATTCCTCTGGTTTTGGAATCAAAAGGGCCTGAATCTGAGTCTCAGCTTTGTTACTACCTGTGACCTTGGGCAAGGTACTTCACTAAAGTTAGTTTGCTTGGGGGTATCAATGTACCCTAAGGCATTAGTATAATTGGTTATGATTAGACTCCTGCTGGGATGACAGAATTCCCAGCCATCCCAAAGCAGAAGTGGGAGAGGTTCTGCCCAGTTCATCCATTAGAGGTGTTAAGGACAGAGACACAAGGTTCCAACGCCTTTCAGAGCCTCTGTCCTCCCAGGACTTTCTGCTGGATCCTTCCCACGGTCAAGAACAGGGAGCACAAAGAGTCACTCACCTCAAAGGTGCCAGCTTTAAGCAGGGTGACCTGGTCATGCTGAGAGAGGTCACGGAAGCCAGGGATGTGCTTGGCAAACTCTACCACCTCCCGTACAGCGGGCGTGAAGCTCATGGAGAAATCTTCCCAGATTTCCTGCACGGTTCGCCCACTGCGTCCATGTGGATACATGTTCATGGGACATGCCTGGGAGAGAAAGGGATGCCGGGAGGGGAGTGTCAGCCAGGCCGGCTTAGATGAGCTATCCCGGCAGGGCTGGGTCCAGATTCTCCCTGGGCTAGGGGGCCTGTTGCCCTGAAGGATGGGTCTCTCCGGAGAAGGAGCAATCAGGTGCCATGTGGCGATTCCCAGGCAGAGCCCAGACTGTAGGGCAAGACATTTTCACCACACTCAGCCTCCAGGAACATCCAGCTGCCCGATGCTAAGTCCATCCTTCCAGGCCCTCTACCCTCTTACCCCACCAAACCCCACCCTGCCCCATGCCCTCACCAGCAGAACATTCTTGGAGTTGGCCTGCCGTGGACTGTTGGCAGGTGCCTCGCCTTCTGGGGCTGCGTACACGTGGGTGGGGCACAGACGGTGCCCATTGCTGTTGGGCTGGTGGCAGCCGTGATGGGCAGGGCCAGGGGGCCAGGCAGGAGGGAAGGAGGAGGGAGCCTGGCGTAGACCATTTAGAGCCTCATTATGACGCTGGGCAGCCAGGGCGTTGTCATTGGGGGCAGGTGGGCAGCCCTGACTTTCCCAGCGATGTGGGGTGGTGGCTGGAGGGCTACCAGATGCATGGTTGGCATTGAAGTTGCCAGGTGAGGTGCCCAGCTTGTCGTGGGCATAGGTGAAGATCTCTCTGTGGGCCCGGGCCACCTGGGATATCACATCTTCCACGGTGGGCTC